GAGAAAAGCAGCTAACAAGGGTAAATGAGAGTGGAAAATAATTAGCCATGCTGACAACACAAACAAGTTAGTTAGCAAAATGCAAAAAAGAATTTGACTGGCAAAATATCCTGCACTATTCAGGGTTTAAGGCTTTCGGGCAATTGTGTCTAACAGGCAGAAGTAAGCTTCCCATAGAGTATATATATGCTTGATCAGCGTCAAAAGCCGAGTCGAGTCGATCTATCGATCTCAGAACTTGTAAGAGCAAGCGATTTGAACGCAGATCCTTCCGATAGTCAATAACTGGACCCGTTACCAAGCAATCGACAACAATCGATGGCGCAGATCTCTTAAAAGGCAACAATAATTTAAGGGGTATATTAATTGCATTGCGCTGTTTAGAGTATATATATTCTTGATCAGCATCAAAAGCCGAGTCGATCTTAGAACCTGTAGAAGCACCTTCAAGTGCTCTCGCAGCACGAGCTTGTCTCCGATAGTCGATAACTGTTCCCGTTTCCAAACAATCGACAACAATCGATATCGATATTCTGCTTTGTGGCGCAGATCTCTTAAAAGGCAACAATAATATAAGGGGTATATTAATTGCATTGCGCTGTTTGGGAGCTTGCACGTTGATTGCTATTATTATATTTTGTTTTAATTCTTATGACATTTTCGTACTTCTCGTTTTTCGCCTGACTGCTTGACCTTGCAACAAACATAGGAACTGCAGCAAAATAAAAGCAACGATAAGCCATTGGTAATTTATATGACATGCAACTGTGCAGCCGTGCGACTAATTAAAGCCACGTTTTTTTTTTCTCAGTGTTTTTATGTTTTATATACTTGTTTTTTTTTTATATTTATTTGTTGTTTTTTTTTTCATAAAAATACTTCTGGTTCAGCCTGGCAGGCGGCGTTGTGGGCATTGTTAATCATTTTTGCATTGCATGCGAGTGCCAAAGGCTTGAGGGGGGAAAAAAGCGGCGAAAATGGAGAAAAGCGTAAGAAAAGTTGAACTTTATTGCCTGTGCCTGGCCTCTTCTCGTGGCCTTAAGGTGCGATAAAATAAAACAGAAGACCCCGAGCTGAAACAAAAAATGCGAACAGCAAAAGAAAATGTATAAAAGATAGGCAAACCCAAACGACAAGCCGACTTTTTCCATGCCCTTTCTGATAGAAAGTGGAATATTTTGATCACAGGGCAAACCCAAATATAATATATATGTGAGATGGTTAATATGCTTCATGATTTAGTTACATCGACATGGTAGCTTTACAACATTATGTGGAAAAGTAGATCTCGCGATGAAGAGAGATATGAAGCCAGAATCAACGGCTCACAAGAGACTAAATACCCGACAATTAATGACAATTTTATAGTACTTGCATATACTCAACTTTATAAGAAAAACTACAGCAACTTTCAATAGAAATGGACAACTTTCGGCTACGGCCTTTTCTACTACTAATTGGTATATTACAGTTTTGATATGTATAATAAAGCAGGGTGTAAAGCAAAATCTGGCTACATTTGTGGACCATATTTGATCAATGCCAATTGTCGCTTAAGATCAATTTTATCCACAGTATCTGTATGGAACTATATGTGGCTTGCAATATGTTTAGTTGAGTAAGGTTTTGGCACGTATAATAACCTGTAACCTAACCTGTGCTCAAAGATGTGGCAAATCAGGTTCACGAATCAAACCCAAGGAAAGGGTGTTCCCCACGCTCGAAGTGTGAATCTACTTACAAACATTACTTGTTAGGACTTGCAGCCCTGGTTAACTTAAATATAAGAGTATACGCTAAGACGCACTTAAGTAACGCACACACACACACACACACATGCAGCTAGTGGGCTGTCAGGTGGGCGGTGTAAATTTACCGTTGGACATGCAACGAAATGAGCGCCTGACATGACATGCCAACGGCTCTGACATGAAATGTGCACAGCTCTCAGGAGAATGGGTGTGTGTGTGTGTGTTTGAATAAAAAATATATGAGTATAAGTGTGCGTGTGTGTGTGTGTGTGTTAATTTGCATGATGAAATAAACTGTTGGCTGTGAGTGGCAGCACCACGAGAAAACCCCCCCAGAAAGCCCAAGCTGCACTTCAGCGTGCAGTTACTTATACGTATATGTATAAGTATATATATATAGATATATATATACATATATGTGTGTGTGTGTGTAGCTCTCTAATTACTGGGGAGGCATGGTAATTGTTTTTCTACATGTTATATTATATAAGAAAGTGGCGTTATTTCGGTTGGGCTCAACACTTTTGAATTTATAATGAGGCCAAAAAGCCAAATAATTATGAGAAACCAACAACAGGGCGAACAAAATACGAAAAATGGTTATTCTAAGAGTAGAAATAATATGTTATAAACAATTTTTCAAATGGGAATATTCAGAAAAATATGCTATTTAAACAAGGCCCAAAAAAAATGTGAATGTCTGAAAAAAGTGCCAATCATTTGGAATATATATTTATTGTATTACACTATAAATTTGAGAATTAAAATAAAGCTTGTATACCCATTGAAATGTAAAAAGGGGCATAATGTTTTTGTGCAAGTGTGGCACTTCCGAAACCATAAAGTATATAATATTCCTGATCAGCATCAATAGCCGAGCAAGCCTGTCAGAGCCTTATTCAATGTTATTTTTCGACTAAGCTAAAGTTCACTAACTAAAATCAATTTTTGTGTTATATGAAAAGTGATAATTTCATTTTAATTAGTTCGACTAGCATGTGCATTGCTCTATGATTTCTTATGCATGTATATATCAATATATTATTCAGCCCTCAATAGTTCCTTTCGTTTGATTTGAAAGCATTTAGCTCAGTTTATTTGCACAGTCTAAATATTGATATTTTCGCTTTTACTGCTTTAAGATTTGGCAAACAAAATCAGCGTTGAATTGTCGCTTTCAGCTCGAACACTTTCTTTAGCAAATGTTTACAGTGCAAAGTTCGAGTTCGGCATAGATTGGGCTATAAAAAGTGTCAGATAAAGTCTTTTGTGGAACAGTCAAAATTCGACCGGGCCAAGATGAAGGCATTCGCTCGGGTTCTTGTCCATTGCTGCGTATTGCTTCATCTGTTTGGAGCACTGCAGGGCCGGCTCTTTCTGGCCCAGAACGGCATCATCTACTGCAAGTGGTCCAGTAGATTAACATGCAATAAGTTTAAGCCCGTATGTGTGCAAATCGGATCAGGTACTGCATTGACTTGCAAACATTATAAGAACGAGTGTCAATATCTGATTGACCAATGTCTGGGTAAAACTGGTAAAATGCCTATTGAAAATCTGTCCAAGTAAGCTGTGTATAAAAATAATGTACTTTCTTTGCAGAATTTGGGCTCAATGGTATGATCGTGGCTTTCGAAACGAATTGCGCGAAGATTTTTGCTGGTAACAAGGGCACATGCAGTTCTTAAATTATTCAAACATATTATTTATAGAGTTATTTATATATATATATACATAAATTGTTAAAAGCTTAAATATATGTACACTAGCGAGTATTCCTGCCGCATTTTGAGCTTAAAATTGAGATATAACTTTATCATGCAGTAAACGCCCGCACAAAATTTAAGTCCAACCCAATCAATGGGTTGTATTGAGAATCTTGAAGCCGAAAAGGAAAAGTTCGCATTTCCTATTCTAATCTTTGAGGTTGAGCTTGGATTTTGCGAAAATGAATTTTCATAAAGATCATTGTGTAATTTTCGGAAACTCTGCCTTAACGCACCTGCCTTAAAGCACCTCCATAAGATATTCTTCTCATAAGATATCTAAAATGTAAATATCAGCAATCAATCAGTGAGTCAGTCAGTAGGGACAAAAAGTTTTATACATAGAGATTATTTTATTTAGATAATTCCAAATCAGCCAATACCTTCAGTGTGTATAAAATGATATCAATGAAAGATTTTGCAGGCACTTAAATGAAAGCTAAGCATAGTTGAAAAATGCCATTTCTTATACACTTTAAAATTTGTTGTATAGCTGTGTGTAAATGGCGCACAAGTGTTGCACAACACGTTCAGCTAAGCATTCGATGGGCGTTTGTCAAACCGGAAGCAGCAGTTCGTCCATTTTGATGATTGCATTTCCGTTGTGCTTGGCGCCAGAGAAAAGCGAAACAATTATTCATTTTATCATTTGGCACTGGCATTTGCTCTCTCTCTCGCTGTGTGTGTGTGTGTGTATCCCAATGTCACATACACACACACTCACACACACACTAGTGCCATGATATATGCTGCAGCTCTTGTGCGCGCTGCTTTTTAATTGCAATCGCAAAACATGAAAGCGAATTTACCATAAATTGCACATTTTCAAGGCAAAAGAACAGTAAAACGAGCAAAAATTATGGTTATGGTTTACACACACACACACACACACACACACACGCACACACAGAGGCAAGCGTAAAATTTATGAAAGCTTGTTTTTGGTTTGGCATTTTGCTTTTCTGTATTGTGGATTACAAAAACCGCCTGCGGATGCAATTAGAAATACAAGAACAAAAGCAAATTTCATATATAAATTGTCACAATATGCATAGAGATTAGACAGAGAAAAGGGCTGGAGATTAGGGGTCGTGGTTGGGTTTTCCATTATAATCTGATGTGCAAATAACTGCAAAATGCTTAAGCTTTTTAATTTAACTTTACAATCTATGCAAATTGTGTGTGTCTGAGATTTTTGTGCAGTATTTCACTGTTACTAACATAGTTTGCTGTTGCTAACATAAATACATATGTTAAACAGCTGTTATACTTAACAGTGTTAATAGACACTGTTAATTGGAATTTTTACAAAATTCTATTTGTCTTTGGTTGCTTTTAAGGGCCGACGTTGACTTCTTCAGAGCTTCTGTTAATAATTCAAGCACCTGTTATTAACATATACATTTGGTGCTAATGCTGTTATTAACATTTGCGTGTCGGATGTTATTTCAATGTAGACATTATGTTGTTAAACAAATGAACATACTGTAAACAATACACTGGAAGCATTTTATACATTTTTTGAAGAGATTCAATCAACTCTCTAGACAAATAATAATCATATGTAAATAATACAGAAACTTCATGCTGTTGCTGCTGTTGTTACTTGGCGTTGTTGGTGCCACTGACGCAGGGCAAGCTTTGATTGATTGACATGCCCGAGCAGAGTTTTATGTTGACTCTTTGATAAACTGCAAATGGCAGGGTTAAGAAAATCGTGTGTGCACATACTTTTAGCACTCATAACTCACATGCGTTTGTCAGTGTATTGCTGTTGGACTTGCAATTGGCCAATCTTTGCTTGCAACTGTAGCTCCGCAGCTCACACAGATTGCTGCGTGCTATGCGCACGCATATTTTACCATTTGGCTGACAATTGGCTCGAACCTTGCGCCGGCAGCTTTCCAAATTGCTCGCCTTCGCTTCCTGTTCACTGGATGTGCTTAGTACTACCAAGGCCAGAAATATGCTTATCAATAGAACAGCTTTCATTGTGCCACAGATCGAAAATAATAATCTTCATCTCTTCTTTTGGCCTTTATATTGCTTTTCAGCTTCGAATGTGTGCCTAATTATTTATCATCTGTATTTATTAATCAACAGCAAATAATCATAATAAGCAAGGCAATCGTCATGCTTTATATGAGTCCTTTGTTTCTTTTTTCTTGTCAAGCAGTTGTACAAATATTTGTCTTGATTTGTTGTTGTTTAAGAATTAATTTTATTATAATTATATGTGCGTTCTTTAGTTAACCCTAGAAAGATTGTCATATTTTAGCTGAAGCGCTTTTTTCTAATTTCTCTATAATGTGTTCTATGTTCAATAAAAAGTTCATTAATTACCCGTAAATGCTAGAACTATTTTTTCATATCATATTAATGTTTCAATGCGTTGCGTGCCTGTGTTCCCGAAACCTCTTTCGCCTCCATTTCGCCACTTAACGACTTTAGAATAGCTTTCTTTATAAGTAGCATATATTTATTTTAAATTCAATAACAAAATTCTTCAACAAAGTATCGACTTAACCGCGACGTCTGCTTATATAGATGGGCTGAACATTCGATGTGGAACTCGAGGATGTGGTGCTGCCAGCGCATTGCCTGCGCGTGCCTACGGGAATGCCCGAGCACATGGACAGGGCGACGCTGGTGTAGGTTACGGAATTGACACAAGCCTCGTAGCGCAGCAGGCATCTGTTGGTGAAGCGCTTGCAGAGATTGGAGCGTCCATAGCGACCGCAGACATTGCTATTGGAATAATAGTTGCAGTTGGAAAGGACACAGATCCTCGGGGTGTTGCTGCTGGTGCCGCTGCCTATGAGGCTGCTGAGATTGTAGACTTGGCCGGCGACCAAGGCGCTGGACAGGATTGCCAAGAGCGCAGACAGAGCCAATATGGGTTTCATTTTTCACACTTGAGTTTGATAACTGAATGTTGCTTTGCAGTATTTATAGCTCATGTATGTTAAAATCTATGATAATTGGCCTTTACTCCATGATGAACGACATTGAAAATACATTTAAAAAGCACTTTTTTCTTTTATGCAAAACACTTGCGCAAACAAATTGGTCTAAAATATTGTCACACGCAATTTTTGCTCAGTTTATAGTTTGTTTTTTTCACGAATGCAATGACATTAGTCAAGTTGAATTAGAATGCCACAGTGCGGGGCTTAAATAATGTATTTGCATTAAATAATTTATTTGATTCGCGGCGCCTAAAAGTAGGCAACACCTAAATATGCGGTTCAGATGTTGGCTTATGTTATTATAATTAAATACTTTGGCGAGTGTTTTAGGCACGTTTTAATATTGCCAATACATAAAAAAAATTCAGATTGTGCCTAATGGATCCCAATCTGTCTGCTGTTAAAAAGAACTTTGTGTTTTTCCACCACATTTCTTCGCAATTTGAGAAATTTAACTTTGGATGAACCCTTTGTATCTTGAATGCAGAACAATGGAGTTGCCTTCTGTGATTCAAACGCACTATGTTTCGGCGAAGTCTGCAAGAATATGGTTGAGCTAGCGATATTTTCCTAGAGTCCCACTCGTCAATGCGCATCCCCAAAAGTATGCAACATAAATTCATGCTTGCAGCTCATTGAGGTCTTTCTTTTCTCCTGAGAGTTGAAGTAATATTTATTACCTATTTGTTTGAAATATATCCATAATTTTGTATCAGTTTTAAAGAGTAATCTTGTTGTACCCAAGTCTCATGCCAAGCACAGGGAATCCTGTCTGTCTACTTCGAAAATTCTTTGCAGATGGTTGCCAATTTTAGGCACTGGGCACCTGATACCTGATTAAGCTGTTAGCTGTGACTGGCACATATATTAAAGGTTACTAATCGAAAATACTTTTGAAATCTCAGCTCAGCTGCAGATCAGAAAATCAGATAAGAAGGTTATATTGAAGGGCTTTCAATAACAAACAGCCACTTAAAGTCCGATCCACACTTGAGTATCTAGTGCACTTGTTTGAGTATCTACATCAACACACAGCTCAAGTCAAACAACAACAATTACACACACACACACACACACACACAGTCGCACACACACAGTCGCACACACACAGTCGCACACACATGCAGCTTTTGCTGTGACTGACAACGTCATTTAGACAACTCGACCCTGTCAGCGTTTGGGCCACACATCAAATTAAATTTCATAGCCATGCGCAGCTCTTGAGCGGCTTCTTGACGCGATGCGTTAAAATGAACATTAAACAAATAAATAAAAATAAAACAGTAAGCCGAACTGAAATAAAATAAATAAATGCGCCAAACAAACAACGCATAAACAATTAAAGCGTTAAATGCGTTAAGTTTTTCTCTCTCTGGTTTCTGCACTTTTTTATCGTATACCATAACCTGAGGGTATTACAATATTGTCATGAAATGTGTATTAAATTTAATTTATTACAAAGATAGAATAGTCCACATGCATAATATGTGTATTTCAGAGAATTAGCTGGGTCAGCAGAGGCAATGTGATCTGGCCTCTCAGTCGGTTTGATAAGGCTTTTTAATGCATGTAAAGATATCGGAAGCAAACAAATTGAAACTCTATAACATTAAGGTACTCATTGAAATGAGATAAATAGAGTCAACAAACTTGAAATGTAGCTTCCAGAAAAGCAGATATTATTATTAAGTCCAGCTTTCAGCGATAGCAGAAGTTTCAGGGTATTCCCTAGTCGGGCACGCCCGCCGAAGCACTCTTTTTGATCGTTTGCTTAAACATTCCATAAACGCTCTTTAATAAAATGCCGTTCAGTATTGGTCAAGGCTGCAAAAATGCTGAGTTAATTGGGCTTAAATTGATTGGCTTAAATGTGGCCAAATTGATGCATTGGCCAAATTAGAACCAAATACCAAAAGAAAATTTGTAACACAAAATGTGTGCGTGCGTGTGTGTTTGTGCGTGCAATTTGCAAACTGCATAAATTTGCATTGATTTTTCGCTGGAAAACCGAAAAGTCGAGAAACTGGGTCACATTTGGGCACGTAGGTGCGTGTGGGCGTGGCACCGTGCCAATAACAAGCATTTAGTTGCGCAACTTCAGAAGACGCCAATTGGCTCGCACTTAAATGAATAGTTACCTTCTTTTGCTAGCCATGTTTAAATTCTGTGCCAGTGAAATCTGGACAGGACTTTCCATTTGGGCCAGTTTAATTGTTAACGGGCAATTGCCGGGCCATTAAATATTGACAAGCAATTTAATTGTCATAGGCGACAAAGTTAAATAAATATGCAAAGAGACTCATCAATTTCTTAGTGAGCACATGCAACATTCACGACAATTGTTGCCACAAATCGATGGAGACTTTCAGTTTGAGATAATTGTAAAGAGAAATACAATGCAAGGCGCCGCTTCAAATGTATCTGTCAGATATGTTTTCAGCATGAAATAGATACAAATAGCTGCTAAATATGTTAGCAAAGCTTAAGAAATTCCCTTTAAATGAAATCAAAATTGCAAAAATGAAGCAGTTAAAACTGCCAGACTAAAAGATACTCTATAATTATATTTATACTTAAGATCATAAGCTTGCATCCATATGTTTTTCTTGTCTAAGTTTTTTATTTTTTTTTGTTCATGAATATTTGATTATTAGAACTTTATGTTATACTAAATTTACACTTTTAAAAAAATTTTTTTTTCAAGTTTCGAAAAACTCATGTACCCTTTTTTTAACTTAACTTTTTTTTAACTTTAATTAGTGACGCGCTTTTGCTTAAAATAAGTTTATTAAACTTTATTTTAGACAATATATGCTATACATGCGTCACAAGTTTATAAATAAATGAGTTGCAGGTAAAAAAGCAATAAAGCTAAACGATTGCCGCATCCATTTAAAGTGCCTTAATAAATATTTAAATAGGTATTAGGACACTTTAATTATAGGAAATCACGTTAATTTCTAATGTAAATTAGTCTAAAAACCGGGCCATATGCGCTTGGGTCAAACGGGAGTTCAAAGGCGAAATGCCGCATTAAAACTGGGCAAAGGTGAGAAATGGATAGAAACTGGCGATAAAAACAAAACGCACAAAAACGCGAATGCCGATGGGAACTTGAAATGGAAAATGGAAAAATAAAATATAAAACGAATGTGGTTTAACTTGAAAACGGGCCGCGTGCACAGTTCATGGGAAGACGGAGATGAAGAAGCAGAAGCAGACGCCACATTTGCTGGCCTTAAACAGCAAAACATTTAACGGGTTTTTGGTGGCAGGAAGCTGTTGCAAAGTGAATCTTATCAGCGAGTTTTTTTTTGTTGTTGTTTTGGTCAACGCAATGTCAATTGATTGCAACGCTCCATTTTTGTGTGTGTATGCAATAAAATTGTTTAATTTACTCGCAGATGCGGCTAATTCATTTGCCGATTTCAATTGGCGTGATGCTGCCAATGCGGCAGCTCCCCCAGTTGCAGATACAAGCAGGCCGAAATGTGGCACACCGACTGCGCCATACTCTGTTCACTCGCTCGCAGCGGAGCTCAAACAGAATCTACTCTTGCAGCGGCCTAATGGCTCTGAAAACCGAAGCCTCTTGATTTTCTTGATTTTCACAATTTACAATTTTTCTTTGAATTCCAATTGCAAGTCCTATTTTTAGACTCAACACCAAAGCACAGCACAATAGACTTTCAACAAAACCTATATACTCTTGCCCATATTGGGAACAGAGTATAAAAACAACAACAACAGCAAACTTTCACTTTCGACCGCCTGCATTTCGTTCAGATAAATATTTTTTTTTTTGGGCAGGTCAGTTTTGTGTAGACTTGGCTTAAAGCACAAATCGCCGGCAGCAAAAGTTTGCAATGCCTGACTGCATTTTCGATTTGGGCCGCGTATCGGACTCATATAATTATTGTGTTTTATATACCCTGTACTTAACAAATTAGCTAAAAATGGGCATTAACGCATTGAGCATGGAGATTATGTAAGTAAGAGCTGGTCAAGTTGTTATATAAGATC